AGATTCTGAGAAAGAAATATCAAGATTAAATGATAAAAACTCGAGTGATTCTGGGCAAGATGATTAAAAGACAAATGCCAAGAAAGTTAAGGTTCATGATAACCCAGAGGATATAGCCTTGCTTAATGCAAAAAATTATGCAAAATTTACTGCTAAAAACCATATTAGCATTCCAAGATTTTACTAAGAGAATAATGATGAGAAATAAAGCGACATCCCTACCAGCAAAGTAAATGGTAAATTAGCAATAAACTTCATGAGTTCTAACATTTAGTGTGATATAGTTCTTCACAAAAAATCTGATACTAAAAAGGGAAAAGCAATAGATAGATTAAAAAATAGCTAACTAAAATCAAATGAGGATGAACACTAATAAAGGACAAATCCTGATTAGAAATAATACAAAAATGATATAGAATCGTGAGTACAATAAAATTCTTTAGAATATGATGAATAAAATAGTAAATCTGAAGGCTCATCATAAGATTTAAAACTTAACAATGAGAATAATAAATAATCATAGAATTTAGATAACAAAAATAAGCAAAAGCAAAAAGATAGAGAAAAAAGAGAGAAACAATAAAAAGCTGAAAAAGATGACTATGAAAAGCATTAAACATAATTATAGCTTGATGCTGAGTTAGAAAATATAAATTAAATGATTGAACTAATGAAGAAAAAAAAGCAACAATTACTTTTAACTCAACAGTAAAGTTTGACGCAGACATGAGAACCTAAATAAGCAGAAAAAGATGTATAATAACCAAAACTTAATAAACCTAGAGTAGTAACATTTCAAAATAACGAAGTCTAAAATTAATCTCATACGTAATATACTGACACTTAGGAGAAAACAACCGACTCAAGTTATACTTATGAATCTTATACATAGGGTGTTACAACATCAAGATTAGATTTATCAAAAAGTGGAACAAGAAGAAAAAGAAAAGGTGCTATTAAAAAAGATCCCTATTTCAATGTTAACTTAGATAAGTTACATGAAGCATTGAATGCTGATGATTTCTTTTTCACTTCAAAGAAAGATATACCTGGCTTGCAGCCTAATCCAGTTCATATTGACATCCATTATTGGAGACAGTAACAGATGATTGATTAAGTATAGAATGATTAGGCTGCAGAATAGTAATAAAGATCTCAATCACCAACTCATCCAAAGAAGAAATAGAAGCGCCAATCTTCAAATAAAGATGACTTTAATTAATAATAAGAGGATTTCCTTATAGATCTAAATGTAGATGTTAACATGGGGAAGAAATAAGAGGATACTTTTGACTTGCAGTAGAAATAATATCTAGAATCATAGCATCCATTCTTAGTAGAGTAATAGATTGTGGAGGATAATGACAAGGGCTTATTAGAATAAGGGTTTTAGAATGCTGAGTGGCGTGTTGAAACAGATAAAAATTTCAAGAGGACTATTATCTTGGAAATTAGAAAGCATGCTATCAAAGATAAAAGATTCATTAATTGGTTAAATGAAAGAACAATTTAGTTAAATGAGT